TGTTGACATTTTCTAACATTTAGTGACATTTTATTGTGTTCACACCACTCTGTCAACCGGTCCAAGTCGCTTTGCAATAATGCCGGATCCGCAGGGCTTTCTATTGCGCTTAAGTTACAGCGTCCACGGAGTTAAGTTATCGGCGTTCCTCTCCAGCAGAGTCCGGCCGACTGACACAACTTTGCCGTTCACGCTAACTTCACTTAACTGACTGCACTTCACTATTTCACTGCACTTCACTATTTCACTCACTTTTCTTCTTTTTCACTTCTTCCTTTTCTTCCGAATCGCTTTAGACTTAGAACTCAACTGCCAGCGGTGAGCCGCAGTTCCGCTTATATACCCCCGGTCAGGTTCTGAACATTCAATTTCGTTATTCTTTTTGATCGTCATGCCTCCAGAACCTTCCAATAATTTCGTTATTCATTTTTATTTATTCTCCTTCTCGCTCTTTTAATTTTTCATTACTTTCACTCAAATATTCCAGAAAGTTCGACAAAACTTCCATCAACTAAAAAACTTCATGTTTACGGCGGGACTCGAACTCGGGGTCTCTGTGGTGTAATCCACACGCCTTACCGATTACACCAACTCGTGTTGACAATTCACGACGAAATTTACAATCTCTAGGCAACGTTTGACAACCATCCATTGACGTCATGATGTCAAAGAGTTTTCCGTCACACTGCCCCCCTCTTAGATTCGCTCGTCCCGAGCATCGTTGCTGCCGTAATACCTCGCCAACCTGTCTATATGGACAACTTTCAAAGGGCTCCTTGAAGACTTCCGAATTCTGTAAGTAATGTCATTGATCTTCGTGACTATCTCGTAAGGACCTTCCCAACTCGGTTGCAGCTTTGGAGATTTTCCCTTCCTTCTGACTGGATTATGAAGCCAGACCAATGACCCCTCTTCAAACCCAACAGAATTGGCTCGTCGATCATAGCGCGTCTTTGCGCGATCACTAGCTTGAAGACCGGCCTCCCTGATCTGCTCATAAATGTCCAACATTTTTGCCCTTAACTCGCTTATGTAATCGCTAAACTCGGTGCGAGAGTCACCAGGTGGACAGCCCGATACAAGATCTGCCGGTAATCTCAATTCCCTTCCAAAATTTGCAAATGCAGGCGTCTTTGCGGTACTTTCATGTACAGCAGTCCGATAGGCAAGCAAGAAGAGAGGTATGTAAGTGTCCCAATCTCTCTGATGGCTGTCAACCACCTTTGCTAAGTGTCGCTCCAATGTTTGGTTGAAGCGTTCGACCATTCCATCTGACTGTGGATGATAAGGGGTCGTTCGAGTCTTATGGATTCCCAAAAGTTTACAAGTTTCCTGAAAACTTGGGATTCAAAGTTCCGTCCTTGATCACTGTGCATCTCCAAGGGCACTCCGAATCGGGTGAATACCTCGTTTACCAACTTCGTGGCTACAGTTACTGCCTCTTGATTCGGTATGGCAAAGACCTCCGGCCATTTTGTAAAATAATCCATAACCACTAAAACGTAGCGATTGCCCGAATCAGTGATTGGAAATGGTCCAGCGATGTCTAAGGCTATTCTCTCCCAAGGCATACCAACATTGTAGATTTTCATCGCCCCTCTGCTTCTTGTTTGTGGACCCTTGACAGCTGCACAACTAGTGCATTTCCGGCACCAATCTTCGACGTCATATTTGCAATGCAACCAATAAAACCTCTCCTTGATCTTCACCAAAGTCCTCCTAATTCCCAATGTCCTCCAGAAGATCCATCATGGAACGCTTTTAATACATCCCTTATTTTTGAACGAGGCACCACCAATTGCAAATGCTCGTCCTGCCGTTTGTTGATTCCCATTTCCTGCACAGAAGTCCGTTATGCAGCGTAAGGCTTTTCCACTGTGCCCATAAACCTTTCGTTACCGCGCTATATTGGGCGACGTCACTCCAACTTGGCTTGTTACCACTTCGTAGCCACTCCAGTATTGGTTTGATATCTGCATCTCTTTCCTGTTCTAATTTCATCGCATCATCTCCCCATGCCTCGTCAACAGTATCAGTACCTTATCACCTTAAGAAAAGCAGTTTCCTTCTTGGCACAATGCTTGCAATCTTCCACGCATGGGCGTCTCGATAATGCATCTGCGTTGCCATGAATTCTTCCGCCGCGATGTTCGATTTCAAAGTCAAATTCCTGAAGTTGTTCCAACCATCTGGCTACTTGGCCTTCGGGATCCTTAAACTGAAGCAGCCATTTCAAAGCAGCGTGATCAGTTCTGATCAAAAATTTCCGTCCCAGTAAATACTTCTTGAAATGGTGCAGAGTTTTGACTACGGCCAGCAATTCCCTCCTGGTCACGCAATAATTCTTCTCCGGCTTGGATAGTGACTTGCTGAAGTAAGCAATAACCTTCTCCTGCTCACCATCGCGTTGTAAAAGGACACCTCCTATTCCATATTGCTGGCATCCGTATCAACTACGAATATTCCTTTCGCGCTGGGGTATCCGAGAATTGGTGTGTTACAAAGCCGTTCTTTTAGTTCTCGAAAGGCTTGCTCACAATCCTCGTCCCAGATAAAGGCACGTTTTCTCCTCTGTCAATCGATGCAAAGGCTTGGCAATGTCCGAGAATCCTTTCACAAAACCGCCGATAATACGAGCACAATCCAAGAAATGCCCGAACTTGCGTTTTGTCTTTAGGTGTTGGCCATTCCTTAACAGCGGCAGTCTTGGCTGGATCAGTCTCAATTCCTCTCTCAGAAATAACATTTCCTAGTAATTCACTTCGCGCTTGAAGAAAGAGCATTTCTTTGGACTCAACTTTAAATTTGCTCCACGCAGCTTATCGAGTACCTTTTCCAATTTCCTTAGATGATCGTCAAAATCCCGTCCAACAATGATGATGTCATCGAGGTAAACTAGGCAGGTTTCGCCCAGCAGTCCCGCCAGCACCTGTTCCATCAAACGCTCAAAGGTTGCCGGTGCATTGCATAAATCCAAATGGCATCACCTTAAATTGCCAGAGTCCCTTCCCAGTTGAGAATGCGGTCTTTTCCTTGTCCTTGGGATCCAAATCCACCTGCCAATAGCCGCTTTTCAGATCGAGCGTTGAAAACCATTTCCATGCCACTCAGTGGTCAAGTGTGTCATCGATTCTTGGTAACGGGTAGCTATCCTTCTTGGTTACATCATTCAATCGTCGATAGTCTACGCAAAACCTCGTTGAACCATCTTTCTTCTTGACAAGCACGACAGGTGAACACCAAGGGCTAGAAGAGGGCTCTATCACGTCATTTTTCCTCATATTGTCAATCATTTCTTCAACCTCTTTCTCACGAGCGAATGGTATGCGTCTGGGCCTTTGACGAATTGGCATTGTATCACCTGTGTTTATTTTATGCTTCAACCAAACCAGTTCGGCCAATATCACCATCGCTTCTTGAAAACACATCAGAGAATCGAAGAAGTAAATTTCTAGCTTTCATAGTCCTCCACTTTTGTCAGACTTTTGTTTTCGTCTAAGATTTTCGTTACAAAGTCTATTCCCGTACTGTCCTTCTTCACAAGATTCTCCGAGCATTTTCTTATCCAGGCCACTTCTTCCAATACGCCCACAGGCTCTCCTTCTTCAATCGTAATTTTTGAATCACTGAAGTTGAATACCGGAATGCGGTTGACATCAGATGACCCAACGACAGTTCTCGCCGGTAGCCATGAGTTTACGTGTTCCGATTTATCAATCACAGCGCACCTTAGAGGTAAACTTCCTTCCCTCCTCCTAGGTAATGCGATTGGTACGAGAGTCTGTGATTTTGGTTCAGAACAGTTCTTCTTAACAGCAAAACTTTTCCCAGGGTTCCACCCTTCATCGGAATTTCCTCAGTTCCACATAGTAATACTCCAGATTTTAAGTCGATGTTACACTGGTGCCCTTGCAGGAAGTCAAGTCCCAGGATGCAGTCATCCAGAATTTTGGCCACAATAACCTCATGTCGATAAACACGTTCCCCAATTTTGATTGTTACATGCAGTTTTCCACTTATCGGTATGCACTGGCCGGTAGCTGATTTCATTCGTAGGCCAACAATTGGTTTAAACGTGTTTCCTGATGTTTTGCCGAGCAGCCGAACATTTATCACCGTCCTTGAAGCTCCAGTATCTAATGTTAGCTGACTGTTTTTCCCATTTACTTGACCGTCTATCACCAGAGTATTTCCATCGTTAGTTTTGCTTGATGTAGATTGTTGGGGTTATTCCACTACCGGCCAGCGCCCACCCCGCAATCCCTGGCTGGATTTAGTTTCCCTGCTGGTCAGAAGTTGAGACCCGCCGCGTCCCTGGCGGTTCACCTTCTTCGGGCAGTCGCTCCGGCATGTGCCCACGCTCTCCGCATCCATAGCACATGAAGTTCCGACGGCGTGGAGGTACCTGCTCCGTTGTCGTCATTTCTCCGCAGACGTAAGGTACGGGAGTTACCACCGCACGGCTTCCACTTTCATGCATGGGCCAGAGCTTCTTTCATGTTCTTGTGATGGCCCAGATGTAACAGCAGCTCGTACTTCGGGGTCCCGAACACCGTCAATGAATGCTTGAGAAGCGTGCCTTCAATCATTGATGGAGTCGACCGAAAAGCTCGACGCACAAGTTTCTCGATTTCCACGGACCATTGCTGTAGACTCTCATTAGCAACGCTGAGTACGCTCTTTTAATTGCGCTCTGTACACGTGCTCGAGGTGGCTGTCTCCAAAACGTGCCTCAAGTGCGTCGAGGAGGGTACTAAAGCTGAGATCCCCACTTGCGCGATAGCTTCCAGCACTGAGAGCGCTTGATCACGGAGGGCCAGGGTGAGGGCTGACTGTGCTTCCTTCTGAGTCCAACCATAAGCCTCCATAAGTGTCTCAAACTGTAGCTTGAACGCGGTCCAGGATGTTGTTCCGTCGTAATGGGGAATCTTCAGCCCTTTCGTTGCGCTTGAGGCCGCATTTGGGGCGTCAAAAACGGGCTGCAAGACGGCTTCGGCTCTTCAAAGGGCTTGGCTTGTCACTTCCTGCTTGATTTTGGAGATCTCTTCTTCCACTCTCTCCTCTATCGCCATGACGCGATGTTCCAACTTGCCTAAACCTTCCTCCACTTCTTGTACCCGTTCGACAGCCTTTTGCAGTCCCTTCGTGAAATCTTTATGCATGTCCTCCAAGCGACGCGCTTGCTCCTCTTGGCGACGAGCTTGATCTTCTTTCAGCTCCCGCAGCTGTTCTGACTGACAGCGTGCTTGCTCTTCTTGGCGGCGCGCTTGCTCTTCTTGGCGGCGCGCTTGCTCTTCTTGGCGGCGCGCTTGCTCTTCTTGGCGGCGCGCTTGATCTTCTTTCAGCTCCCGCAGCTGTTCTGCCTGACAGCGTGCTTGCTCTTCTTGGCGGCGCGCTTGATCTTCTTTCAGCTCACGCAGCTGTTCTGCCATCATTTGCCGCAGCTGTAGCAGAAGATCCATCTGCACAGGCTTGGCTTCTGCATCGCTGGTCTGAGCTGCAGCACCCTCTTCCCTCACACGCTGCGCTTCTGACATAGCACGGGTACTCACTCCTCTTACGTCCTGCGGCACTAGCGGCATTTTTCTCCAATCCCACTTCTGACACCAAAATGTTACGTGCCTGACGTCACGTTCCTGACTATGCGGGCTTGGGTTACGGGATTGGATGAAATGAAACACTAATACCGGTTTTCAGACTTTCTATTGCGCTTAAGTTACAGCGTCCACGGAGTTAGTTATCGGCGTTCCTCTCCAGCAGAGTCCGGCCGACTGACACAACTTTGCCGTTCACGCTAACTTCACTTAACTGACTGCACTTCACTATTTCACTGCACTTCACTATTTCACTCACTTTCTTCTTTTTCACTTCTTCCTTTTCTTCCGAATCGCTTTAGACTTAGAACTCAACTGCCAGCGGTGAGCCGCAGTTCCGCTTATATACCCCCGGTCAGGTTCTAGAACATTCAATTTCGTTATTCTTTTTTTGATCGTCATGCCTCCAGAACCTTCCAATAATTTCGTTATTCATTTTTATTTATTCTCCTTCTCGCTCCTTAATTTTTCATTACTTTCACTCAAATATTCCAGAAAGTTCGACAAAACTTCCATCAACTAAAAAACTTCATGTTTACGGCGGGACTCGAACTCGGGGTCTCTGTGGTGTAATCCACACGCCTTACCGATTACACCAACTCGTGTTGACAATTCACGACGAAATTTACAATCTCTAGGCAACGTTTGACAACCATCCATTGACGTCATGATGTCAAAGAGTTTTCTGTCACAGTTGTTGACAGTCTGTTGACAGTTGTTGCGAACATAGCCTTCTTTCGCACTCGCGCCTACCAGTGATCCAGCTAAGCTTGCCATAAAGATAGTCAGGTTTTTGGTATTTGATTACATCGAATAAAAGGCAGGCCAGGTGTAACTTGCGTCTTGACTTCATTTTAAGTGCAAAATGTTTATTGAGAAATGGTGTTACATGGCTTCTGGGCGGTATTTTATAACAAAAACGAGCACAGGCGTTTTGAACCCTTTGAATGAGCCGATCAGTACGAGCTAGTATCCGCGGGCCGTATACTGTGTCCGCGTAGTTGAGCCTGGACAAAACAAGGGATTCGACAAGCTGCTCGCGTAGTGCTTCGGATAGGAAAGGCCGCATGCTGTACAGAACTTTCAAGCGGTAAAAACCGCTACGCACTGAGCCAGCAACGTGTTTCTCAAAACGAAGGTCACTGTCCATAATGAGACCAAGGTTTCGCGCTTCATATACTCTGTTTATTGGTTTACCCATTAGTGTCAAGTCAAGAGTTTCGGGAAGTCTACCTAGCTGCCGCCTAGTGCCACACACCATATATTTTGACTTGATTGGGTTAAGTGCTAGGCAGTTCTCTTCAGACCAGGCTGCGATTCTAATTAGGTCATCGTTGAGATCCCTAATAGCTCGTTCTTGTTCATCCGGTCTAAAGGATATATAAACTTGAACATCGTCGGCGTATATATGATACTTGCAATTTTGTAGGCACTTAATTATGTCTGCACAATACAAAATAAAGAGGATTGGGCCCAGTATAGAACCCTGCGGTACTCCTCTGTCAATGGAAGTAAGAGCCGATGTAAGGACAGTACCATCACCCAAACGTAATTCTTTATGGTGCTTTTATGAGTCATAGAAAATATACAAAATCTGTATACCATTTAAAGGAATCAAGAAATATGGGTAACATACCTATTTAATATTCCCAAGAATTAAAACAAAGACTCTATACTCCGCACACGACAAACATGACAGTCGGCAGATTGTTGTATTGTGAAAAAGTCAGTGGCTAAAGCAGGAAAGACAACAAAGATAAATGTTAAAAACACTCTTTTGTGGTTTATTCTGTCTGCATTTGGTCATACAATAGTTGCTTGCATCACTGGGTTTGAATAGTGGGACAGAGCTGCAAATTTGCAAGATAAGATGACGTCATAAAAATAATATTTCGTAGAAAAATGGTCAGGGTCAGTCTCAATACTGTTTTTTAATGAATTTTCATTTACTCATAATTGACCTCATTATAATTATTCGCCTAAATAAATAAAGAGTTTGAAATAGCTACAACAATTCTGTATGTAATATTTTGAAGTATTTAATTTGGTATCCAAATTGGTAAGAACTTAAATGTGGAATGAATATACTTTTTATTTAAATAAATTCTTTATTAGTTTATTAATGTGAAACAAATAATTTTTATGACAATATCTATTTGATATGCTACCCCAAATTCCCAATCTTACATTTTTGTATCCCTAACAAACCAGTAACTGTGTCCATAGGTAACATAGATTGCTCACCATCAGGTAATCCATCGTATGCCTCCATAAGCCATAAAAATTCACGACCTTATTTCAATTACATATTATATCCAATTAAACAATATACCTACATGCTCATGTGTACGAAACCTTACGATATATTTTCACATCTGACCGGATTTCCGTTGAATTGCGCTTATTGAAAAGGTTAGTAGAAAGATTAGAAATTTATTGGAAAAGGTCTAAGCCGTAGATGAGATCGGTCACCTAAAAACTTGCACCTTTTCATAAGGTTGTACGTAGGTAGTATACGCTTATTTTAAAACTAAATTACGTACATTTAGGTGCTTGGAAAATTCTCGTATATATAATGTATTGTGATGATAAAAACAACTGCTTTCACTATCATATTAAGTTAACTTTATGTAATCAGTGTCATATTAATTTATTTCTCGTTCTTCTCCATACGTATCTACACTTTGAAATGAACATGTAAGGCCAATAAAGGACAGAGTGACAGACGGACACTGGATTTTTATTTATTTTGTTTGACGTTCAAGAGTACTTTTAGTGCCTGAAATACTTTGGAGGTGTATTTGAAATAATGGTTTTAAATTTGATTTTGCAATATCCATTTATGAAATAATGAGTTGATATAAAATAGCTGTAGTTGAAGTGATGCTTATTGAAGAACTTGTTAGTAAGTAAGCAATAGCTTTTGATTGACTTGAAGATCATGTTCTAAAAATTAATGGTTTGACAAATTTCACTTTTCTAAACTAAAAACGAATATTAGGGTCTTTTTTTAAATTGCTTTCATTTAAGGCCTAGTCATTATTTTTATTATTGTATTTTTGACATTAATAGACGAAAAAAATATTATTTTTACTTAGAAATGTTTTTCGAAATCCTAATAAAAGCTGTTGTTGTTTGTTAAGAGCGTCTCTTGTACAAACCGCTGTCGTCTGAGGTCTGCTTATTAACTTCGTAATATCATAACAACAACAAGTTTTCCCCGAAAATGTTTTTCTAATCCTCTTAGAAACATATTCAAAAGGCTTGATACTGCAAATTCTGTAGACATCTTTTATATAAATGGTAGATTTTTGCCCATTATTAGAAAAAAACTTAGACATTTTTGATATCATTTATTTTTTTATTTAAAATATAATGAGTAAGCAAAAAATAAATGCCCATTATTTGCTTATATTTTTTAAAACTGCAATCACAAAATGAGCCTGTAAGCAAATAAAAACCATCCTTAGATACTTGAAAAACAAAAGCATGAATTCGTGTAATCTTCCGCTGTTAATCTCATCAACAAAATTGTAAGTAGCGATTGTGCTACGACGCGTAGCGTAGCAATAAGAAAAATGTTTTCGCTACGAAGTGTTCGAATCCCGTAGTACTATAGAAACTATGCCGTAGTAACCTTGAAAATGTTTATCTCTATTGTTAATAACATGATTTTCGACATTACTATCATTATCGTGAGACATACTGAATTAACTAAAAATCGTGGGTTACTCACGTACTGCAGTAGGCCGTAGGCTGCGCGATATCACCGCGTCAGTGCACACTGCTCATGAAGAAGAACCCCTTTGTGGTTCGAAACTAGTAGAGCTTTTCTCAATTTAAGCACGTGAGTAACCCGCGATTTTTAGTTAAACTACTATCACTTTTAAATAAAATGTGTACTTTTTGTATGTCATATGTAAGTAAACGATTTACCTGAATGTAAGCAATCGGCTCCGCCAATAGGTTCTCGTGACACCAGAGTAGATATGAGTGCGTTACTAGCCAGGGTTTAGGGTTTCGAAGATTTGGGTGGACATGGGATTGGAGAGGGATGGCAGATGGGAGGTATTAGGCCTCCGGTAACTTCACATACACAGGGCAACACATCGCTGTGGTTTCTTGCCGGTTTTCTTTGAGGCTGTGGTATCAATCCGCTAGAACCAGCCCATTCGCGCCGAAACATTGGTATCCCAATCGTAAATAATAACTATATTAAATAAGTTTTGCAATATCATTTTACTTTACACAGTTGTCATAAAGTATTTAATGAGTAAACTTAACGAATAAGACACATTAGAACATACCACGGTACTAATTCCAAACTCATTTATTAAATATATTATATTAGGTATTACATATTAGGTATTTTAAATTCAATAATCAAGCCTTTAACGTAGCTCATTTTTTAAGTATGAATGTGTACTATCAATGAATACAAAAAAGAGAGGAGTGATACCACGGCCTCACAGAAAACCGGCGTGAAACAACCACGGCGTTGTGTTTTGCCGTGTGAATGAGGTTACCGGAGTCCCAATTCTTCCCCACCTCAAATCCCAAATCCCCAATCCCTAAAAGGCCCTCAATGCACTTTTAACTCCTCTGTTGTTGCGGATGTCTATGTGCGGCGCTGATTGATTACCATAAGGTAATCGGTCTGCTCCCTTGCGACCTATCACAAAAAATAAAAAGATCAATGTGCTTTGCATCACATCTCCCATAATCGGTCCCTCATTATCCATTCTACGCGGCAGTGTGCCGCATCAATTAATTCATGGCTCACTGGCTCCTCTTTGACTTTGCGATTAGCAACACAAAAGCGCGATTTGCCATTATTCCTAGCCGATAGTTTCTCTCACATGTGTAATAATGCTGGATTAGCATACAGTAATTAGTGAATGGGAAAAGCCATTAAATATTATGCCTATTAAATTTTGTTTTAACAGGAATTGTGATTGTACAATGGATAATTGTTTGGTGCCAAATAA